GAGCCGGCGAGGGGCCGCGCGGTTTCCCCGGGCCTGGAGCGCGTCCAGGATGGCTGATGCAGAGCAACAGTGATAAAGGCGGCGAAGCATCTTGAGTCCACGTCGCTGACTCGTGGGGAAGGCTTTTCGCAGGCTGGACACCGTTCAGGGCCCGGCTCCTTCCTGTATTTCCGGCGCAGCCGCGGCGAATCTTGAGGCTCAACTTCATAGATTATAAAACGGGGAGAATGGGCGTTCTTGCCAGGCCGGACCTCCCTTCTCAGGACCGTTGAGTGCTCTACTCGGAAAATGGAGTCAAGGCTACTTTGTGAACCTCAGAGTGATGTAAAAATGGTGTTATTGTTGGAAATCGGGTGTAGAAGCGCCAGGAATGGAAAGCTTAAATGTATTGAGGGCTTGAGAGAACACAGGTGAATCAGGTAATTCTCTTCTCATTCATTAAATGCTTGTTTGCTTAGTTTGGGGGCACTGGGGATACATCCAGAGAACTAGCTAGACAAGGCCTCTCTCCCCTCTTAGAATTGGGGATGGGGATGAATAGACAAATAAAAATACGATTTCAGAGAATGGCAAATTCCAGAAAAGAAATGAAACTGAATTAAAGAAGATATGAGGAGACAAATTTAGATTGGGTGTTCAGAGAAGGCCTCCGTAAGGTGGTGCTTGAACCGAGGAACCTAAGGAGGGGAGGGGGAGAGAGAGAAAGAGAGAGAGAGAGAGAGAGAAAACGAACCACAGGTGTAAAGGCCCAGGAAGGAAAGAAAGCATTTGGTATGATTGGGAACAGGCTGTAAATTGGTTAGAACTAGTTTGTTGTTCTTTCTATCACTCTACTCTATCTCCAGGCTAAAGTCTGAAATATGACAAAGGTAATAGTAAATCTTCAATTTAACAATGAAAAAGAAAGAGTCAAGGAAAATACAGCCATAAATGAATTGCTGATAAATATATGACTTGGGGGGAAAGCCTCAGAAAATCACAGATTCAAATCCTTTGTCAGCCCCTTATATCCATCTTCAGTTCATCAGGTATTTGCAGGCCCCTGAATACCTCCGGAATTAGGTGCCAGACTGGAATACAGAGATGACTAAAACGTGTGAATGTGCTTCTATACACAAGTTCTGTTTTCTCCCTCTCTCATCTCCATATATACATACACACACAAAATGTTTTAAGCCAAAGCTAATTACTGTGTTGGTTAACAGTGTCAGCATTTACTAGCTGTGTGACTTTGGGTAAGTTACTTAACGTTTTTGAGCCTTACTGTCCTCATCTGGACAATAATAGAACCTTCTAGAATTGAGGATTAAATGAGTCAATGTAAATAAAGCACCTTGCACATAGTAAATACTTATAATTGGAATTAAAGGATATAAATGGTGAAATTTTTAGTCATGTGGTATAGGGGCAAAACACTGGATTGGAACACTGGGGTTCTAGTTTTGACTGTTCTGCTTTTGGTTATTAATTGGCATCCAGACCAAAAATTTGTTTAGAAAACAAATGGAACCAATAGTCTAGCAAAAAGTATGGGGTGCTTTACAATTTACAAGACTCTTACAAGCATTACGTTGTTCATACCCCACTAGAACCTTTGTAATTGTGGAGGTCCTTTTCCTGCTGTTTTAAAACTTTCTAAGATGTTCCATCATTTTCTTATCGCTGTACCCCTGACCCCCTGTGCTCTAAACACACTGGCTTGCCTTCAACTTCAACCGTGACTCACCTTAACCCCAGGCCCTTTCACATGCTGTCCCCTCAGCCTGAAATCCTCACAAGCCCTCTTCCACCCCCCTCCCCCATACACCCATACACACACACACCACACACATGCATACCCTAGTCCTGCAGATCTCAGCTCAAGCATCACTTCCTCAGGGTAGCCCTCTCTGATGCCCAGTGCAAATCTAGATCAGATTCTTTTACTACACTGTATTTTTCCATTATAACCTTAGTCTCACTTTGTAATTATACTCCATTATATGATTGATTGATACGTGTTCCCCTTACCATGCGGTAAACTGCATGGGAGCAGGAATTATTTTGTTCATTATATTTCCAGCACTTAGCAGAGTGCCTGGCACTATTTGTTGAGTGAATTAATTGATAATTTATGATATCACTGGTAACTAAGTTACTGCTCATTAATGGTACCTTTTTGTGGGGGCTTGTTTGGCAATTCAGATAGCAGTGCCAGCAATAAAATATCTGTTACAGTATTTGGATGATTTTAGAAAATGGCCCCTCATAGATGGCACTGACTGGAGACATGAATTTCTTTTTACCCACTTATATGTTGATTTTATGTTTAGTTCTTTTTAAAGACCAGAAATAGATAACTTAATAATAAACTGAATTACAAAGTAAATTAATGAAAGTTGATGAGTTCATATGGAACTCATTAATAAACAAATAGTCCAAATATAACCATGTCATTTACTTTAACTCAGCGGTTCTCGGCCTGTGGGTCTCGACCCCTTTGGCGGTTGAACGACCCTTTCACAGGGGTCACCTAAGACCATCCTGCATATCAGATATTTACATTACGATTCATAAGTAGCAAAATTACAGTTATGAAGTAGCAACGAAAATAATTTTATGGTTGGGTCACAACATGAGGAACTGTATTTAAAGGGCCAGAAGGTTGAGAACCACTGCTTTAACTGAAGAAACAGCACCAATATAATTTTCTTGAAATTAAAAATGCTAGTCTTTGTTTCTCTATCACAGGGGATAAAAGAACAGAGAAGTAGGTTTGCAGGGAGATGAGAGTTGAAAGTCTCTGTGGTCATTTTTATTTTTTAAAAATTTATTTTTATTGTTGAGAGTACTACAGATGTCCCTTTTAACACTATTGGCCCCCTCCACTCTGCTCTAACACTCCCCGCCCTCCCTCCCTGCAGGCCTTCACCATATTATTGTCTCTGTCCATAGGTTATGCATATATGCATATAAGTTCTCTTCCTGCCTTCCCTCTGAGGTTCATCAGTCTGTTCCATGCTTCCATGTCTCTGGATCTACTTTGTTCATCAATTTATTTTGTTCATTAGATTCCACATGTAAGTGAGATCATGTGGTACTTGTCTTTCTCTGCTGGCTTATTTCATTTAGGATAATAGTCTCCAGGTTCCTCCATGCTGTCTCGGAGGGTAAGAGATCCTGCTTTTTTACAGCTGCATAGTATTTCATTATGTAAATCTACCACAGCTTTTTTATGCACTCATCTGCTGATGGGCACTTGAGCTGTTTCCACATCTTAGCTATTATAAATAGCTCTGCTGTGAACATAGGGGTGCATGTATTCTTTCTGATTGCTGTTTCAGGATTCTTAGGGTATATTCCTGGAAGTGGGATCACTGGGTCAAATGACAGTTCCGTTTTTAATTTTTTGAGGAAACTCCATGCTATTCTCCATAGTGGTTGCACCAGTCTGCATTCCCACCAGCAGTGTACTAGGGTTCCCTTTTCTCCACATCCTCGCCAGCGCTTGTTTGTTGATTTGTTGGTGCTAGCCATTCTGGCAGGTGTGAGATGATACATCATTGTCGTTTTAAGTTGCATCTCTCTGGTGATTAGTGATTTTGAACATTTTTTCTTATGTCTCTTGGCCATCTGCATGTCTGCTTTGCAGAAGTGTCCATTTAGGTCCTTTGCCCATTTTTTCATTGGATTATTTATCTTCCTTTTGTTAAGTTATATGAGTTCTTTATATATTTTGGAAATTTATCCCATATTAGATGTATCATTTGCAAATATGTTCTCCCATACAGTGGGATCCCTCTTCATTTTGTTGATGTTTTCCTTAGCTGTGCAGAAGCTTTTTATTTCGATGTAGCCATTAATTTTAAATATTTATTCTTCCAAAGATAAATGGATTCATGTAACAGAATTATTGAAGAATAACCTTTTAATTGCTTTCCCAAGTTTAAAAGCTTACTTTGCAAAGTATATGTTAAGCTTCCACCTGAAAGTCTGGTAAATAGACCATTTTTGTTGACTTTTTTACATACTACTTACTTTTTATGTGTTTTTATTTTTTATTTTAGAGAGAGAAGGGAGAGAGAGGAAAAAAAATCAATGATACAGAGAAACATTCATCAGTTGCCTCCTGCACACACCCCTACTGGGGATGGAGCCTGCAACCCCATGTGCCCAGACTGGAGTCACACCACTGAACTTTCGGTGCATGGGACATGGCTCAACCAATTGAGCCACACTGGCCAGGGCTATATAATACTGATTTTAAAAATAAAATGTTAAAATATTTTAAAACCAATTAGCAGTCACACTTTTATTTAAATCTTTGGTTTTGGATTCTTCTATCCTGTTACAGGAATTTTTGGTACCACTTGTTCAACAATTTTGATTCCTTGAATTAATTACTCAGAGTAACTAAAGAACTGATAGTTTAATGTTGTTTTACAACATGAAAATACTTATTGCTTTCAACAGTTGTATTTAAGATGACCTTGAAATTTTGTTTTCATGAACATGCCTTTACCGAAAATAAAACCCATATGTGTAATAATCTTACTTTTTGAGGAATTCCGGAAAGTCTTAACATTTATCTCCAAGAAGTCCAGCAACAGTTCAGCGCCTGTCTCTGGAACGTTGAGTGGGTAGCCTATCTGAGGCTTATAGATTTCCCACTTTTAAAATGGGGAGGGGGGCACCAGCACTGAGATTGGGGCCAAGAGTAGGAGTCACTTGTCCAGGTTACAAAGAACAAGGCAGGTGGACCTGTGTAGAGCAAACCCCCTTCAACCTTAGTACTGAACCACTGGCCTTTTGTGTCTAGCTGTCTTAGTGTCTCCACATATTGAGGGCTCTCATTTGGGGTTTTTACCTTTGAGTTCTCTTACCTGTGTGTCATATGCTCCTTCAGTCCCAAAGCACGTCCCAGAGCAGATACTAGTTCCCTTTAATCAGTACCACACAGGAGGAATCTGTGAAGGAATCCATCTTAGAGCTCAAGTCCAGCCTCACACCTGATGCAACACTTTGCAAGAGTTTTGTTTAGCTCTTTTTACTTTATTACTGGTAATGAGAAACTTAAATAATGTTGACTTTTCCTCCATGTGTGATTATCATCTTTAATGTGATGTACACATTCGTGTTCCTGTCGCACATTGTAAAAGATAAGCTCTTATTTGTTGGAGTCTCGCTTGCAACCTAACATGACTGGAGGCTGAGATTCTCTTTGTAATTCCCTCCCATCCCTGCCATTCCTTCCCCATATCCCTTGCCATCTATTTCTGCTACCTGTTCCCCATCCTCTCTTCAGGTGCCTTGAGTGCTAGAGAGTTTTAAGCAACAGGAGCTCTGTACCAAAAGTCATGACTGTTTGGAAATTGCAACTCAACTAGCATAGCTCCCAGTAATGAGTGGTAATGGATAGAAAGGATGACAGTTCAGATGA